AACATTTTTGTAAAATTAAGTGATTCTTATTTAACTGTATCGATAAATGTAACTTTTGTCGGCTTTCACTTAAGTTTCTTGGCTATATAGTGTATGAAAAGGGTCTACGTACCGATCCAGACAAGGTTTCAGCCATTATAAATTACCCTGTACCAACGACTAGTACTTAACCGTAGATTTCTTGGTATGGTTTTTTACTATCGACGGTTTCTTCGAAATTTCTCGACATTATCTTCCTCGATCTCCGACCTTTTACAGGACAGAAATAGAACCAACTCATCACATGGACCCCAGAGGCAAACAAGGGTTTTGGGGATATTAAAGTATCCTTCACATCTGCTCCAGTCTTAAGCAGCCCTGATTTTTCAAAACCATACTTTTTAATGTGTGATGCGAGTAATGTCATAGTTGGTAGTGTATTATATCAAATAAAGGGAGGATTTGAATATCCTGTAGCTTATATGAGTAAGAAACTTACCAAAAGTCAATGAAAATTTAGCACCACAGACACCTTTAGATATTACCTTGTAGCTCTTCACTTTACCGTTATAACTGATTACTCTTCCCTTGTTTGGCTTAACAACATGAAAAAAACCCTCAGCCCGTTTAGTACGATGGATCCTCCAGTTGTTGCAATATAACTTCTCTATTGTGCATCGAATGGCTGCAGGTACTGTAGTTGCAGATGCATTGTCACGTATACCTGAGGTGAACTGGACTTATCTTTGTTGAAACCAGATAAGTGGTATAGAAATATGTTATCTAGAGTTCAAGCTAACCCAGAAAAATTTCCAAATTTTTACTAAGTTGAAAATAATATCTTGTTTAAACATATCTACAACAAATTTGCACTGCTTAACAATAACATATCTGACTGGAAAACTGTTTTCCCCACTGAAAATAGATATTATGAAGATAATATATTGTAACAATATCATGATCACCCGACTGCCGCACATTTTGGTGTAACATGCGCAACTCAATTCATAAATACGTTAAATGTTGCAAAATTTGTGCTGCATGCAAGCCATCTAATTTACCACAGGCAGGGTTGATGAGAAAATACCGAAACATTTAATTTCAATTTCCTCTTCAACTAATTTCATGTGATCTTTTAGGACTCTATCCACGCTCTCTAAATTTACTTTAGTTTATCCCTTATCTTAAGCTACCGCTCCTGCTATTGTTAAGTTTATAGAGAATAATGTATTTTTAGTCTTCGGTGTACCCCAAATTATGTCTGTGGATAATGGTAGACAATTAATATCCAAATTATTTAAAGATCTTATGCAAAGGTATTCTGTTCAAAAGATATGGTGTAATGTTAACTTCCATCTACAAATTAATCACACCAAAAGGGTAAGTAAATATATTGTGACTGCCATTAGATCTTATTGCCATGAGGATCATAAAAGTTGTAATGATGAATTACCTCAGATTGCACGAGCTATTCGCTTATCACAACATGAAGTAACAGAATCTTCACCATATCATTCCTGGTATTTGGCCGGAATGTTCCTGTTTCTGATGACTTTTATGGTATAATTGCAGACAATGCAACAAATCAGATTACCATTGCAGACAAGGTTCACAGGTTTAAGGACATTCAGGAAATGCCAGCTATTTTTGATGATGTCCAAAAGAGGTTGAAGACAGCTTACGCTCGATCTCATCAACGTTATAATCTGCGAAGACGGGATGTAAAGTTTTATGTTGGCGATTATGTTTGGAAACAAAGCTACCCAAAATCTGATAAGTCTAACCACATCACAGCTAAATGTATGCCTAAGTTCCTTGCCTGCTTGGTAAATCGTGTTATATCTCCCTTGGTTTAAGGATCAAAATGGTAAAAATTTAGATCGGTGGCATGTTAAAGACTTAAAGGAAGTTATAATGTCTACTGATAATGAAAGATACGTCGGATAGTGTTGTTTTCTAATATTGTAAATATTGGTTTGTGTGTGGTTTTGTGTCGTATTTCATTGACTTCCCAGTTATCGTTTTTCAGCTCAGTTTTCCCTTCATTTTCTTCTTTCTCCTTAGTTTTTACCTAACTTAAGGACTTTAGGTATCTTATTATTTCTTTCATCCAGGTGTGGTGCTTAGGGTGAGAGCCAATAACACCACGGCTAAACCAGTCTGTGGTAGAAGGCTTCTTAAGGAATCTTTTCCCCCCGTTTTCTTTATTTTTCGTCCCCTCGATTTCCTATTATTTCTTTCATCCCCGTGTGGTGCTTCGGGTAAAAGAGAATAACATTACGGTCGAACCAGCCATTTCTAAAAGGAGACCAAAGGAATCTTTCATTTTTCATTTTCCTCAACTAATTTTTTCACTGTTTTCTATTTTCTAACTCCACACTCTTTTTGCTTCTCAATAACGTTAGCAGCACCTTTGTTGCATCTCGGTGGGTAAATTTCCAATGTTTTCAAATTCCTTATCTTACTTTTCTTCCCAACTTCGTTTTCTAACTCTCTCTTTCCTTCTTTCATATAACTTCAGCCTGTGTGAGCCCGCAAAGTTACTGTGCTGAAACCCCTCTTGCAGATCTGTGAGTTCAAATCCTTCAATATTGGAATGTTTTTAGTGTTAGCTTGACTAACGTACTTGCAAGTGGAAGTATGGAAACAGCACAGAAGCGTAGGAATATAACTTTCTACTGTAAATAGTATTTTGAGGGTTTATTTTTCGCTACTGAGGATAAATAAATTAATTGAAAAATATCTTTCCCTTTATTTTCTTAAAAGAAAACATGATTGATGGCGATCCTTGCGGAAATATTATGAATCTGATGCCATAAGTAAACGCTATTATAGGTGTTTTTTTTTATCTTTACCGTATCTTGAGGTTAACTTGGTGATGACATGTAAAGTTAACCCAGGTATCTTATTATCTTTATTTTCTTATGGTCAGCTAGACTAATCTCCGTTCATTCTGATGTACAATTTTTAATAGTAAATTAAATTTTAATTTGGGTTGTTTTGCGCAGAGACACAGAAATATGAATGACATGGTCTTAAGTTTTTTTTCAGTGTGTTAGGTTGTTGGTTGTTAGAGAACAACAGGTTTTCTATTTTTTTTTTACCTGGATTCGACATATCTTTATAATTTTTAAGTTGTATCTTTGTAACCTTTTGAGTAACGATCTCTTGTAACTTTGGACCACTCAATATAATAATGATATCTTTAATATCATTATTAGCGATTATGATATTTTCATTACCGATTATGACGCTTATCTGGATATCTTTATAACATTTGAGTTATATCTGTGTAACTTCTTGAGTTACGATATCTATAAAACGTCGATAACTTAAAGGTTAAGATATTGCTATTACCGATTGTGACGCTTAACTTCCCTGTTCTTGATGACAGCGGGTGGTTAATTATCTTTCTTCTTCTTCTTTCCTCTTCAAAATGATTTTAACTAGTTCCACATTTTATATTTATATTTTTCACATTTTTATTAATTAAAAGTCTGCCCTTTTTGTATCTTATAGACTATTGAATATTTTCATTTGAATTTCAGTTCTGCCCTAGGGTAACGAGGATTCGAATAAGGGTACTACAACGGAGGCTGTACTTTTCCATCCCGGTAACCTCTATACTGCACTTGAGTGGCTGCAGTCATCTTTTATAGTTATCTTCGTATTTGTAGTCTTTTTAAATCCTCCGGTTTTTACGTTTTTTTCTTCCTAATGGATGTGACTTTTGTAACTTATCCTGGTTAATCTTCAGTTAACTATTTCAGCCCGTAGGAGCTACCAGTTGGCAGCTTTTCTATTGCTGGCAATTGAGGAGCTGAGCGGTGGCTTGACTCTGTGATTTCCAAGTAAGGATGGATTGTCCATTTCAGAAATGAGACATATGTTAAGAGTAGAGATAATTCTGCGCTTGAGTTCACGTTCCAACATCATCAGGAAACACTCTATGGGGCATTTACTTTAAGGGGGGGTTATTTTATATTTATCGTAGTTTTTAGATGCTATAATCTACTAGAGCATACTTGGTGGTCCTTGGAATTAATTCCTATTTTTTTATGCTTTAATAACTTTTTCTTTGTTTAACCAAGTTCTTACCTTGTGTAGTATGAGTCTACCTTGTGTATTTTTAGTTTGGCAAATACTGCAATTTGCTAGAGTTTTGGTAATCCTTGGATTTGATTCTAAAATTTTTGGGGGGTATTGTGGATTTTAGTTTGGCAAATGTTACAATATGCTAGGGCTTGTTAGTCCTTTGGTTGGGTAGCTATTATGGTTTTTAGTTGAACAAATACTAAATTTGCTAAGGTTTTGTTAATCCTTGGATTTTATTTCCTTAGAAGTATTTTTGGTTTTTTGCTTTCTTTTTCCCGTTTGTCTTTTTTTTTTCTTCCTTTTTTCTTTTCCTTTTCGCTGATGTTTAGGTTTTGTTATCTCTAGACAAGAATGTGTGTGCCTGGTATGTAACTCAAGCAAGATTGTTATGTAGTTTGCTTATTTCTTGGAAAATCATATTAACTTTTTTAAATTTATGTTGTCACAGTTTTTTCTAATATTCTCTCGTTTTATCTTCTTCCTAGACATAGAAGTTTGGAATCATGGGTGGCTTTGTTATTTATCACCTGGCCCCGACACTTATTGGGTAGTGTTGTGTCGACAAATCTACTAATTTGTGTTATAAACAGATTTTCATCATTATCTTGTGTCTTTCGTATCGTGCTACCGTTGGAGTAATTGTCAGTGGCTCCAAGTTTCGACATATCTCCAAGTCACGACAAATCTTCAAATCTCAACATATCTCCAAGTCTCGACATATTTCTAAGTAGATTCAAGTAGATCCAAGCAGCTCCAAGTACTTCCACGTATCTCCAAGAAGTAGTGGACACATTTTTGTCTCCAAGTATCTTCCAATAGTATCGGTCATATCTCCAAGGATCGGACAGATTCCGAGTATCGGACAGATTTCCAAGTAGCTGACACATTTCTTAGAACAAGATCTCTAAGTTAGTCAATACATTTAGATCCAGATCACCAGGAGACGATCATACAGAGAACTATCGCAGTTGCGACTGATGGTGCACTATCTATGGCTGCTCGTCATCGTGGTTAAAGTGACAACTTCAGCATTTAGTAGCAAAGAATGTGAGTCCTAGATTGCATCAGTCTTTACAATATGTTATAAATGCTGTCAACAAGATTCTAAGTAATTCTTTGAATACTCGGTATTTGCTCAGCTATGTGAGGAAAACGACACGTCTTTACCTAGTTACTTCTGCACACTGAAGTTCGCTGGCTATCAAAAGGCTTCTACTTAGCAAGATTTTCAGCTATTTTTGAATTTATATTAGAGTTTTTACAAGGAAAAAATCTGAATTTAGAAGAAAATCTGAACAATTGTAATTTGAAACTACAGGGTGACAATCTTAACTTGATTAAAACAAAATTAACAATATCGGCCTTTGTGGGTAAACTTATCCTTTATGAACAAAATTTAAGCAGGAAAGAATATTCAAAGTTTCCGCATTTTTCAAAATTACCAGAAATGCTTCAAGACGATGTTATTTTACCATACAGGGTGTCAATTTGAAAACTTTCAATGCGAATATCTCGCAAAATACAGAAGTTGGAGAAACGTCGTTTGGCACAAATATTATAGAGAGTTAGAGTTAGAACCTCTATATTTCAGTGAAGGGGTGAGTCACCCCTTAGGCGCGACACCAACTTTAAAATGTCAAATGGCACTACCCCTTTTGTTATACCTCAAATGAAAGGTCTCCTTTAGTAGTATTCACCTGTACAAGAATTTTTTTCCATTCAATACAGGGTGAAACAAAAACATGAATTCGAATAAAAAAAACTGTCTGGGCGGGAATTTTAGGCGACATTGTGATTGGGCCATTATTTATTAATGGCAATCTTAAAGGCGATACTTACTTGAAAATGTTAGACACCACCATTTAACCTCTCATTGTTGAAGAAATTGAAAATCAGCTCGACATTAACGGAAACAGGAATCTGAATGAAAATTTAATACATTTTCAGCAAGACGGAGCACCACCCCACTACGTTCTTCCAGTCAGGCAATTTTTTAATTACGCTTTTCCAGGTCAATGGATTGAACGAAGAGGTCCAATCGAATGGCCGGCGAGATCTCCTGATCTAACACCTCTTGACTTTTTTTCTCTGGGGACATTTGAAATCCATCGTATTTAAAACAAAACCGGATTTAATAGAAGATTTTCGGCAACGAATTATTACGGAATGCAGCAATATTCCAAGAGAAGTGTTTTACAATGTTAGAACAGAATTTGAAAATCGATTATACTATTGTTTAGCACAAAATGGAACGCGTTTTGACCATCTAATCAAATTAAATATCATTAAATTTTTTTATTCGATTTTTTTGTTTTTGTTACCCCCTCAATTGAATGGAAAAAATTTCTTGTACAGGTGAATACTACTAAATGAGACCTTTCATTTGAGGTATCACAAAAGGGGTAGTGCCATTTGACATTTTTAAGTTGGGGTGTGTCGCGTCTAAGGGGCGACTCACCCGCTCACTTAAAAATGGTGGTTCTAGTTCCCCTAACTCTATAACATTTCTGCCAAACAAAGTTTTTCTAACTTTTTTATTTTGCGAGATATTCGCACTGAAAGTTTTCAAATTGACTGTATGTCACTCATTTGAATGCGTTACACAAGGATTTTACTGAAAGGAGGTTTGAATATCTCTTAAATTTACAAATTACAACAATGAAAGAAGCCAATGTGATAATGCAAGAAGAGTTGATCACCATCAGCACAGACGAAAAGCTTAAGCAGAAGTACAACCAAGGCTATCAGAAGTTCCGGTTGCAGCGCAACATTTAAACACATTCTGTATTGTGGAACATTGCTGAAAAATACTTTATCGCTTTTCCATCATCATACCTAGTCGAAAAGGGCTTCAGTATGGTTACAAACATTTTGACAAAACCAAAAACCGTTTGAAAATCAACAAACGCGGATGTTTAAGGCTGCAACTCACTAATATTGAACCAGATTTAGCTGGATTGATAGAAAGTCACCAGGTAGAAAGTCATACTGAATTTTTTATTTTTTTATCTTTACGATTTTAATGTTATTTTTTTTAAGTTATTACCTACTTAAGTATTTTTACGTCATTTGTATTATTAATTACACTTAATATTTACTGAATTTAATGTCTATTTATTTTGTAAAATTTTGATGCGAAAATGATGTCACTTAACCAACCGCAAAGTTTTTAAATTGGTAAGTATTTTGTATCAATAGGAAAAAACTAGAGATATGATTTTTAAAGTAATTTGGAAAAGGGATCTCTTGCCCACAACAGTTTGAGAATCCCTGTTCTAAATGAATGGAAATATTTTTATGATAAAACCAGTTTATAGATCATAAAGAAGGTTTCATTTTGAAATATAAATATTTTTTTGTATATAACAAACTATTATGTACCCAGTTACATGTTAATAGTCTGATAATTATCGGCCTATCGGAAATACATTCGAAACATTAAAACGAGTTGAATAAATGAATTTCGTGATGTCATTTCTGAGCGGGGTACATCCTTCATCCTTTCATCAATTTCCCGTCGCAAATAATCACGGATGCGAATCAAACGCTGTCACAACGGGCCGTAATCAACAAAGTTTCCACTGAAATGTAAATGTTTCCCATTGATTATGCCACGCCACCAGCCCGCGAAGTTTGAGGAGAGCAATCATTCACAATCAGAAGGATGTGTAGGCTTCAGGTTTACTCTTACGCTTACGCTACTCAATCTAATTTAGCTTGTAATGCTCATTTAGAACAGTAATTAGAAAACTTGTGTAAACGTATGACGATCTTATCTATACAAGAGTCTAACTCTAAACTAATTCCGTTCTTGAATTGGACCTGTATAAAGTACTTTTAGTGATGATGATAATACTAGTCGAGGCAATGAAGCAGTATAAAAAAGACAAAAGTTCGGAATTTTTTAGACTAAGACGGATCGGAATGCGGTTTTTTGCATTCGCTTCCAAAAATAATTAGGAAAAAATGCCCCTACTTTTTATCTTATACAAACCGGAAATTGCATTGATGCAGCTAAAAATGCATTCAAAAAATGCATTTTTTGAGACGGCTTTTGGAAAATTAAATAAGAGTCAGAACTAGCCCAAATCGGGTTGCCGGGGGGTTTTCGAGGTCGCTGATTACAATTATGATGTTCAAATTGACCCATAGCCGACCTGCAGCTCAGGAACGCCAATGAACGTCTACTCCGTTGGACTCTCCCGAAATTCACGCGGGGAAGGAGAGAAACTCAGCGCCCGGGGGGTTTTTTGGGTTGCAGAATTCAAATATGGCATCGGAAAACACTCCCCGGATACCTGATATGCCGGAACCTCGACGTGGACGTCATCACCGAGAATTTTCCTTACCAGATCGCCAAAAACATACCAAAAATCAATGTAGGGGCGTTCTTTGAGACGCTGAATCCAAATTTCACATTGAAAACGACCCCTTGAACACCTGGTGCACTGGAACCTGAACGCAAACCTAATCTCCGTGAGTTTTCCTCACACAATCAAAAAAGACGAACCAAAAATCGTTATGGGGTTTTTTGAAGGCGCTAACTTCAAATATGGCATCGGTGAACACCTCCTGGACACCTGGTGTGCGAAAACTTGGACTTTATCCCCGAGAATATTCCTAACAAGATCGCCAAAAACAACCCGAAAATCATTGTAGGGGCTTCTAAATTTCACGTCGAAAACGACCCTCCCGAACACCTAGTGTACCGAAATCTAGCCCTTTAACGTTGTCTTCGAGGGTTTTTCTCACACAATCGAAGCTTGTCTTATATGCCACTAGTTGCGGATAATATTTTGTTGCTCCATGCAATAACGGAGTGTATACTACTATTACTATACTACTACTTCAGCTTCAGTTACTACTATTTCAGCAACGTGTTCCCAGAAAAAAATTAAATTTTTTAAGACCTTCCAGTAATATCCAGACATTCAAGCTTACGCTACGAAGTTCAAGGAAGCTGGTTTGTCAAGCCAAGAAACTTTTGGAATGATGCGCAGCTAATCCTTGCAATGCACAGTCCTCCACTGTCATTTAGTTAGCTGAATGTTCCTGACAAGTACACGCCAAAATGGGATCAGTTACTTCATATGTACAGGTATAGAATGTACATAAAACCGCTCCAAAGGAAGTAAATATAGGAAAAATTCTCCCCACACTAGGATCCAACAAAAATGAGGGTGGAGAAAGGAAGGTGTAACACTGGTACCTCTAGAAATGACACAAAAACCTGCGCCCAAGAATATTATAAAATTAATATTCTGTGGATGCCCAGGAGATTGTAAGCTGTTCTCCTGTAGTGGCAAGAAGCACAGCCTCCCTTGCAATCTTGCCTGTTAAATTTGTGTAGGCTCAACTGGCAACAATACTGAAAGATACTTAGTTGAAAACGTTATTGTGGTAGAGAGAGAGGCCTTAGATGAGGAAGATGTTCTACTTATGAATACGTCAGTCGATGACGAAGAAAATGAACAGACTAGCGATGTGTAACTTGATGAAGAATTTGATATTTAGTTATGTATCTAAAAATTAAAGTTATTTATTAATGAGGTAAGGTAAAGTTACAGTTAGATTGTATTTGATTTGAGTTCAATATAATTTTTTAAACTCCAATTACATAAATATTGACTTTCTATTCATTCGATTTCTTTTCTCCTCACATAATTTAACTAGAATCAATAATTCCACACAGCTATTGCAGTATTGACGTCCATCTCCAAAACATCAGGTATGGTTGACATTCATGGGAATGACATCGATGTCAAGAGAAAGATTAAGGCACACCAGTTATTAGGAGGGTCATTTTCGACGAGAAATTTGGATTCGGCGCCCCAAAAAAACCCCATAATGATTTTGCTTTCGTCTTCTTCTATTGTGTCAGGAAAACCTTCTGAGATGAGGTCCGCTCCAGGTTCCGGTGCACCAGGTGTTCAGGGGATCGTTTTCGACGTAAAAATTGGATTAAGTGCCCAAACAAAACGCCCCTGCAATGCTTTTCGGGTTGTTTTTGGCGATCTTATCAGGACAATTCTCGGGGATTACGTCCACGTCCAGATTCGGGCGCTTCAAATGTCAGGGTGGTGTTCGCCGATGCCACATTTGAATTCAGAACCCAAAAAAAACCCATAACGATTTTCGGTTTGTCTTTTTCGAGTGTGTGAAGAAAACTTACGGAGATAAGGTCCGCGTCCAGGTTTCGGTACACCAGGTGTTCAGTGGGTCGTTTTCGACGTGAAATTTGAATTTAGCGCCCCAAAAAACGCCCCCACAATTATTTTCGGGTTGTTTTTGGCGATTTTGTTAGGAAAATTCTAGGTAAAGGACGTCCACGTCCAGGTTCTGTCATACCAGTTATCCAGGGGATATTCACCGATGCCATATTTGAATGCAGCGCCCCAAAAAATCCCCGGGCGATGAGTTTTTCTCCTTCCCCGCATGAATTTCGGGAGAGTCCCACAGAGATGACGTTCATCGGCGTTCCCGAGCTCCAGGTCGGCTGTAGGTCAATTTGAACATCATAATCGTGATCCGTGACATCGATAACTCCCGGCAACCCGATTAGGGCCAGTTCTGACTCTTATTTACAAAGTTCTTTAATCATCCAAAAGCCGTCAGCCAAATGCAGCAATGCAATTTCCAGTTTGTATAAGATAAAAAGTAGCGGCATTTTTTCCAAAATATTTTTGGAAGCGAATGCAAAAAACCGAATTTCGATCCGTCTTAGTCTAAAAAATGCCAAACTTTTTTGCTTCAATGCTTCGACTATACATCTATATTGTACATATTTAAAACTACTTGCATATACTATTTAACAATCGCAAAATTTCGTTCAATACAATATAAAATAAAATACAGAATAAAATACAAAATACAATACAGAATAAAATACAATACAGAATAAAATACAGAATACAATACAGAATACAATACAGAATACAATACAGAATACAATACAGAATACAATACAGAATACAATACAGAATACAATACAGAATACAATACAGAATACAATACAGAATACAATACAGAATACAATACAGAATACAATACAGAATACAATACAGAATACAATACAGAATACAATACAGAATACAATACAGAATACAATACAGAATACAATACAGACTATAAAACAAAATACAATACAGAATCCAATATAGAATACAATACAGAATACAATACAGAATACAATACAGAATACAATACAGAATACAATACAGAATACAATACAGAATACAATACAGAATGCAATACAGAATACAATACAGAATACAATACAGAGTACAATACAGAATACAATACAGAATACAATACAGAATACAATACAGAATACAATACAGAATACAATACAGAATACAATACAGAATACAATACAGAATACAATACAGAATACAATACAGAATACAATACAGAAGACAATACAGAATACAATACAGAATACAATACAGAATACAATACAGAATACAATACAAAATACAATACAGAATACAATACAGAATGAAATACAGAATACAATACAGAATACAATACAGAATACAATACAGAATACAATACAGAATACAATACAGAATACAATACAGAATACAATACAGAATACAATACAGAATACAATACAGAATGCAATACAGAATACAATACAGAATACAATACAGAGTACAATACAGAATACAATACAGAATACAATACAGTATACAATACAGAATACAATACAGAATACAATACAGAATACAATACAGAATACAATACAGAATACAATACAGAATACAATACAGAATACAATACAGAATACAATACAGAATACAATACAGAATACAATACAGAATACAATACAGAATACAATACAGAATACAATACAGAATACAATACAGAATACAATACAGAATACAATACAGAATACAATACAGAATACAATACAGAATACAATACAGAATACAATACAGAATACAATACAGAATACAATACAGAATACAATACAGAATACAATACAGAATACAATACAGAATACAATACAGAATACAATACAGAATACAATACAGAATACAATACAGAATACAGTACAGAATACAATACAGAATACAATACAGAATACAATACAGAATACAATACAGAATACAATACAGAATACAATACAGAATACAATACAGAATACAATACAGAATACAATACAGAATACAATACAGAATACAATACAGAATACAATACAGAATACAATACAGAATACAATACAGAATACAATACAGAATACAATACAGAATACAATACAGAATACAATACAGAATACAATACAGAATACAATACAGAATACAATACAGAATACAATACAGAATACAATACAGAATACAATACAGAATACAATACAGAATACAATACAGAATACAATACAGAATACAATACAGAATACAATACAGAATACAATACAGAATACAATACAGAATACAATACATAATACAATACAGAATACAATACAGAATACAATACAGAATACAATACAGAATACAATACAGAATACAATACAGAATACAATACAGAATACAATACAGAATACAATACAGAATACAATACAGAATACAATACAGAATACAATACAGAATACAATACAGAATACAATACAGAATACAATACAGAATACAATACATAATACAATACAGAATACAATACAGAATACAATACAGAATACAATACAGAATACAATACAGAATACAATACAGAATACAATACAGAATACAATACAAAATACAATACAGAATACAATACAAAATACAATACAGAATACAATACAGAATACAATACAGAATACAATACAGAATACAATACAGAATACAATACAGAATACAATACAGAATACAATACAGAATACAATACAGAATACAATACAGAATACAATACAGAATACAATACAGAATACAATACAGAATACAATACAGAATACAATACAGAATACAATACAGAATACAATACAGAATACAATACAGAATACAATACAGAATACAATACAGAATACAATACAGAATACAATACAGAATAGAATACAATACAGAATACAATACAGAATACAATACAGAATACAATACAGAATACAATACAGAATACAATACAGAATACAATACAGAATACAATACAGAATACAATACAGAATACAATACAGAATACAATACAGAATACAATACCGAATACAATACAGAATACAACACAGAATACAATACAGAATACAATACAGAATACAATACAGAATACAATACAGAATACAATACAGAATACAATACAGAATACAATACAGAATACAATACAGAATACAATACAGAATACAATACAGAATACAATACAGAATACAATACAGAATACAATACAAAATACAATACAGAATACAATACAGAATACAATACAGAGTACAATACAGAAGACAATACAGAAGACAATACAGAATACAATACAAAATAAATTTAAGCATCTATTCTATTATTTGCTATTTAGGTACACATAGGCACTAATGAAAATAATTTGTTTGATAATTAGTTTATACTTACAGTAATCAGTTTATTCATATTTACATACATTCTTTGTATCATTTGTAAATTGTAATCTTTACTGTTCTGTGAATAAACATCTATTTATCTAAAAATAACATTCTTGCAATAAAATACAACAAAATAATGGCATAATAAACAAAATAAAAATAACCTGAATTTTTCTACTTTTGAGTTTGATACGAACAATTCACTCGAGTTGCACATTTTATTTACAACTCATTAAATAATACTCAAAAAAAATTTAATAATTTAGCGGTTATTAATATAATATTACTCTTACATTTATCTTTTAATTAATATACAAACGAAGATGATTACTTATATAACATTTACTTACTTTTATAACCATACAAAAGACAAAAAAAATGTGTAACAAAAATGAATGGCATTTCTACCTATTAACTTGTTTTTACCAAAAGCATTTCATCTTTTTCGACTCTTACGCGGCGTGTGTCTACTTAAGTTGGAACCATATGGAAAACATTTTTATTATTGATTTTAGGAAAATAAGTTATTTTTGATACAAAGTCCTGCATGACCCAAAACTTAAAATACAGTCATCAGATATCAAATGTTTCAAGCCGTATACGAGGTTTGTCAAAAAATATGAATTTGGCTCAAGAGTAAAGTACGCTTATTTTTTTACAAAATCGAAAATTTTCATTAAGAAATTTGCTAAATTCTTCACAAACATCAACAAAAGGAAAGCGTATCATGTTTATAGTAGCTAACGTAATTTATAACGTTTTCGGATATTTACAATGTGTAGAGTGTAGAGTTTATAAAAATAAGAAAATCTGTTTTTTAGATAGATCGGTGTTATTGCATATTTAAATGTAATATTCAATTCTAATCAACTTTTCTTAATGAAAATTTTCGATTTTGTCAAAAATAAACGTACTTTACTCTTGAGCAAAATTCATATTTTTTGACAAACCTCGTATACGGCTTGAAAAATTTGATATGTGATGAGTGTATTTTAGGTTTTGGGTCATGCAGGACTTTTTATCAAGAATAACTTTTTTTCCTAAAATCAATAATAAAAATGTTTTCCATATGGTTCCAACTTAAGTAGACACACTGTATGTCGCCGGGATACACTTTCCTTAACCAACCAATCATCAATATTATGTATTCTCCTATCCTGTCAACAATACAGACATTAAGTTCTTTCGTTCGCTGTTGGTGTAGTGTCCACCAGTGTAAATTACACCAGTTACACCTTATACATATGTCGAGTGTAATTCACTATTCGCTCCGTGCGAAGTCATGGAAAGGGAAGCAAAAGCGATACTAGCGCTAGCTGCGGATAATTCGTGCATTTTAGGGCGATATTTTGTAATTTTGGCATATCAAATACACGTATACATTTTACTTTTTTTCAAAAAAAGTAGGTAAAAACAATACAATAAGCAACCGGAGTTGCTGTGTTGAAAATTGTACAAATACTAGCAAAAAAACAGTGAAACTTTTATAAAAAATTTCAGTAGCAAAGTGGAAATTAAATCAAAGAAATGAATGGATAGATATACAATAAGAAGGAAAATTACCTTTATTTTTGTAATAATAACCGTAATGCTGCAAATAGTAGACTTCAGAAACTTGAAAGGTTTTAAATCAACAATAGATTATCATTTTACCATGTTCTTTAATATCCCTTATTCTTAAATGTTCATTCAGCAAGGACTAGATTTCAAGATTTCTGCCTTTGATTATTATATGTGGTTGGAACGCAATTTTGTAACTTACTGATAGGAAATCTGTTTTAATCATTCATTCTATGTTTTCTTTCGAACAAAAATGAAAATATAAGTAATGATCCTTTTTTTATACATTTTAACTTCACGCTATTATTAAATGGTATTTTTGTATTTTGACAGAATAGACTAATTCTTCAATGAAAACTTATTAGACTTAGGTAACTTCTCATACATTTTCCAGTAAATACTGTTGCCTGCCTATATTTTATTATTGATTTTTATCAATTATACATAATTTTCTTTAATTTAAGCAATAAAAATATATAATAATAATAAATTAATGTTTTACTTGTTTTACAAATCCATATACTTTTATTAAAACTAACATTTATACATTTTAATTACGAATTCTATTAAAAGTTGCATTTGTCAGTATACGCCGAAATCCTCCATTAGTATCAAAACGAATTGGCGCTACTGTCGCGCACGGAGCGAATTGCTAAATAGCTGGTGGACACCACATCGCCAATAGAAGGGTATAGTGGGTTTTACATCAGGCCAAACGAAAGGTTTAGTGTCCGTTGGTGTAGTTCATTCCTACACCAGTGGGACGAACGAAAGAACCTTCTGTTCTGTGTGTGCCGAGATATGACATAATTTTTCCTTCTTATATCAACAAATAACTAGACTCGAACTTATATAAAGGAAAGTAATGCGTTATAAATATAAATGGGCTTATAACAACCATAATAATTAAAAAAATACAAAGATTGAAATTTATGACTTTTAATAAAATTATGCATAAAATAATATTAAAAAAAATTACAAATAAAAGACATCTGAAATGGGATAAAAAATAATCAACTTAATTGAAATATCCATCACATTTAAATTATCAGTGGGATCATTATTGCAGCCAATTTAATGACATTTATGTTTATAATGGACCTGTTATAAATTTATCTGTTTCAATGGACCTTTCTCATTATTGATGACCTCTATTACTCATGCGCAAACTCTATTTTCGCTTAAAATCATTAAAATTAATTATTGTTATGTTTCCTATCCTGAGTTCCAAATACACATCCGCAAATGTCATTTTGGTTTTTGTTGATTAGTATTGGTAGGGGAACCAGTAACACTTTTAGATGGGTTATTTGCGAAAGGTAAAATTAGAAATATTTCGTTCAGTATTACCTTGTAAAACACGTAAATACTTTGCTGTGGAGCGATGGAGCCCTCGACAATGACGTTTTAACAAACGCCTTTGTAGAAAATTGTCTCATAGGAGTTCAAACTTGAAACTTTCAGTTATTATTTACATTAAAAGAAAAAAGTTTTCTGTCATCTTCTTCAATTTCTTGGCTCACAGTACCTTCTAGCATGCTGATAGGGCATTTCACCGATAGATCGATTGCAGTAAAGATCGAAATCTTTTACAGGGTAAGAATTAAAGATACATTTCTAATTTAGCCCTTGTAAAAATGTATACCAAAAAAAGTTTCACTGGCTTCCTGCTATATAGAATCGACGACAGTTGTTTGAAGTAACGATGACACGGGGTAATCGTCATAACCAACCCAACAATTATTGTAAGGCGAGAATAAGCAAAAAAGTTTGGAAAATTACTAGATTCAAAAGTCCCGCGATTTTTTCGCGCATGAATAATATAAAATTGTCGAATAATAGAAAAGAACAATTGATAAAAATGACATGTTACAGCACTTTAATAATTATCCTGATTAAATATTAAAATGTTTGGGTCTTATTTTGGTTATATATATGAAGACTATAGAGAAGGAGGCAAATCGACAATGGTCAAATTTCAAATTACCGTCCTTCTTTTTATAAAGTTCACGAAATTGACTGTAGTTGGCATGTTGAATGACAGCGGTGTCAATTTTCTATGTAAGTCAATGTAAAATGTAGCGATTTTTTTAGAAAATTGGTAAAAAGAATCAAAATAATGTGAAAAAGTATCTGAGTACAAGTAACATGAGTGACAAAAAACATTAAAGCAAGATTTACGTCGTTCCAGATTGTAAAACAGGACAAAAATCAAATGTTAAACTAAAGAAAACATTTATTATACATACATCAAAATTTAACTTAATAGAAAAGAAAATGTACTTTTTATAGAGTTTTAATGTTAGATAATGAGTTGCTACTGTTATTTTTTTTTTTGGACCCCAATTCCCAACTAGCAAAGTAGCTTTATAATTTTAAATTTACAGTACTGTTATATTTTATATTTATTATATTGTTGTTTCTGAAGTGCTAATTTGTTGTACTAAAATTGCCGAAAGCACTATTTTGTTCTTTAAAACAGAATTGTTATGTAAAATAGTGACTACAATGTTCTTACAGCAAAATTATAAAAAAGTTTACACGATAAATATAAAATTGTTATGTAAACATCTTTTCGACTATCTTATACAACATTTCAGCTCATGAAATTAAATTGTTTTATAGCGGTTCTCTATAATTGCTTTGCACCAAGTTCACAACTTTTTGGTTATACATATACAATTGTTTTGTAAGCCCATATTTTCGCTTTATAAAATAGTTATATAGATATAATTTTGGGATAATTCCGCATCAAGAGCAATTTACATGTAAAGGAAACTGTAAAGTAACTATTGTGTAACATTGAAAAAGGCTTGGATAATAAAAATTATATAGAGCTATTATAAAACAAAACATATATTTAAGGATAGTGTTGTCCCTTTAAATATATTTATAAAACAAAATGAAAACAACAACACACATCATTGTTTAATCTTTCTTGTTCGAACCATTTGAATGTTAGTTTGTGGTCTAAATATGTCAGAAATATGTAAGTGGAGAAAAAATAAAAGAAGTGGTGCTTTTCGAAGAAAAGTAAAGAAATATTATAAAAATATTTAAAAAAAGACTAACATTCAGACTCATTATGTTGTGATAAAAAAACAAAATATTACTTTTGATAATGACATCCACGAAATAAAGATCGAGCCAAATAATGAGAATGAAATATTTAGAAATGACTGGCTTGTAGAATTAGAATTAAATGAAGATGACCTCTTAATATCAGATGTAAAAAAAATGCAGAATTTCGAAAAAATACTAGATCGTGGGCAGTGTCATTCAATATCGCACATTCTGCCTTGAAAGGGCTATTTAGGAATATAAATGAACGTTTTCCAAACACGCTTCCTCAAGACCCCAGAAC